ACATCTATTAAGTGTCCCATGTCTTTAATACTTGCCTAACCTGTTTCTAATCCGGACTAATGTAAGTATAAAGCAGAGGACCGTTATTGCAGAGGACCATCGATATGTAGTTATTATCCAGATATTCGTATATATTTACATCGCTTGGTAAAGCTGCTCATAAAGGTATTTTTGCATACGTACATGCGTACTTATGTATGTATGTACATACATATGTATGGACTCGATATGAATGTGTGATCAAAGTTCCATACAATTTATTGCAAACAAATTCTTTAATTTTCCGAATGATTTCTAAAGCTCTGATTGCCCATAAACTATCTTTATACAGTATACGCAATATATATGTTTACATGCAAAGGTATGTACATACATACATACGCACATAAATACATTAATACAAGTAAGTATACAAAAATTAGTCACACCAGAGTGATGAGCATAGAAGTTCGCATTGAACAAAATTTGATAGCCAGAAAAACACATGAGCCCAGAATTTGCAATTAGAGCAAAAACATGTGCGGGTTTTGCCACGCAGTTAGCTACAGCTTCAGCAGTATGCGATGTACTTACATATGTACATATATACAACTTTATGTCAGTGCCATATTTAATCATAGATGCATGAGCATGTACAAATGTACTTCTATGTATATATATGTATATGTATATGCATACTTGTAGACATTTATTTTGTGTTGCTATATATATGTACATACATACATATGTATGTACATTAAACATTTATACACCACACCCAGAAGATAATTTAGGTAGGCCTTCTTAAGTGAAGCCATTCTAAGAGGCCTACCCCAGAAGGGCTGAAAAAGTGCTTCCTTGCATACCTTCTAGAAGGGCTTGTTCATTTAAAATTTACGCGAATGCATAAATAATGTAGTTATTTAGCACTGCAAATGGATTTCAATATAGCTTTTAAGTTGCTATAACACATATTTGATATAAAGCTTACGCAAATAATTTAAAAATTTTGGATTTTTATAAATTAAAGAAGCAAATTTAAAGGAAAACCAAAAGGCCTTCTGAATTACGTCCTATAAAAGCCCTTCTGGAAGGCCTTCTATGGATAGCAAAAGAGGAAGGCCTTCAATTTGTGCGACTCCATATAAAAAAGAAAGGAGAAAGGAATGTAGAGTGGTAGGCCTCTTGACTCTCAGGCAGGTCTTCCGGAAGGACTTTTAACTCCTGAAATTATCTGCTGGGAATCGTCTAACGATAGTATAAAATACCTAAATTATAAATTATGAACCACCTGTGTAAAATAAAAGCAATAAAATAAATCAAAAAAATCGATAAACACTGGAGCAAATAAATGCACATATCGGCAAAATCAATATATTATATGTATATGTATTTAGTCAGTGCAAACATATGTATGTACATGCTTATACTCAGTATATTTTCGTTTCGTGCTTACGCTTAAATTAGCAAAATGTTTTGAGTTGTATTATTTTTTCTACGCTCACACATAAATATACATCGGTGCGGTTACGATATAAGAAATTAAGAAATCAGTTATCATTTTGTTATCAACACAAAATTTATGACAGAATCCAATGAGTGGCGGAAGGCTTATTGTTATCGGCATTTCCATGCAGTCTCCCACTGATACGCCATTACAGTAGCAAACCGAAAGAAACTTCTATACATTTTTCTTATACATCCGTCGACGTTTTCAATAAAGGAAAAAATTTCGTTTAATTAAATGTGCCAGACCATCTTATTATTTTAGGTGACGCTGGAGAGCACGAAAAATATGTTTTACTTGGCTTTTATGGCTTTTATGGCTTTTATGGATTTTATTGGGCTTTTGCGGTTAGGCGCAATGGAAAATAATACCCACCAAACTTCACTCATACCTTAAGTATGCAGAAAACAGGCATTTTTATGGTAACAAAAATTCTAAAAGTACAAGTAAAATATTATTTCTATATGTATGTGCTTATATAAAAGCGATTTGTGAATAGTCCCCTTAATTTTACTAGTTTGCACGCATTCATATAGAAGGCTCTGTAAAATAAAACGAAATTAGAGCCATGATAAAAATATAGTAAGGTAGAACCGCTGAGAGTCACTTTTAAAATTCTTGACGTTTCCAAACAATTTAATTTTTAAATTTACTCACAAACTCACACACACATTTTCATTTTCAATCTCAAGCAACAACAATTTCGAACAATTTCAATTTTTTATTTTCACTTTTATATGATTTTAAAATGTTGGCAAACATCAAAAAAAAAATCATGGCCGACAAATTGAGAGAACGGTTCTACCTTACTATGTTTTTATCATGATTAGAGCTTAGAGGTTTACAAAAGTTTAACATACACATATTTTTTTACTCATACGTAAAAGCGATTTGAAAGTCCTTTTAGTTAAAAGCATAAATTATTAGACGGGTAAATATATTAACACACACTTTTAATTGTGGGAACAACCATATGGTGAACGCGGGACAATCACAACAATTTACTCAACTGTTTAAATTTATGAACGAGTACCCACAAGAAATCCAAGAACCAACGTAATTATCTGGCCAATTAGTTAGTCTTAGGCAGCTGCTGTAGCAGAGTGATTAGAAGTGCGTAATACAACTCCGGTGGGACATGGGTTCCAATCCTGAGTCTATTTTCTAACCGCGGTCGACTCCTAGGTTGGCAATTGCAAACCTCCGAGTGTATTTTTGTCCTGAAAAAATTTCTCATAAAACCATTTCGTCTGTTGGAGGTCCCTACATTCGTGTCATAACATCTTGTCAGACACTACAAATTGGAGGGAAAGTTGGACCAACTTAGCAAAACTGTGAAGGCCAATTATTTTTTTAATTTTTTTTAATTAGTGTTTTTGTAATTTACATACCCATACATTATGTATATATATGTATACATTAGGGCGATTTTTTTGCGGCTATTGTTGTTTTTTCTCTCTTACCTCAAAATTTTGTGGAAAACACCTAAGAAAGAGGTCACTGAAAATTTAAACCCTTAATATTAACATAAAGTACTCGCCCAAGGCGTGAAATGATTTTCCATATAAAATACACGTAAACTTTAGAGTTTTTTTCTTAAAAAGTCCACAGCTCAGAGGAATTTTATGGTATAATTTCGGTCAATGATGGGTTTTCTTCCAAATTGAATGCTGTACAAAAGTGTATATAACGGTTTAATCTTAACTCCCATCACCGAGGCAGCACGGGTCACTAAACCCAATTTTTAAATGAAATTCTCGTTTTTTTGCCCCTATCTCGAAAATAAGAAGAGCTACAGAAAAAATATAAATGGCAAACTTGTAGGACTTTCAATTTCCTACTTAATGTTAATATTACCTAATGTTAATATTAAGGGTTCAAATTTTCAGAGAGCTTTTTGTTAGGTGTTTTTCAAAAAATTTTGAAGTAGGAGTGAACAAAAAACAATAGTCACAAAAAATAACCCTAGTATACATACATACGCGGATGTTAGTAAGCCTTTGTAACATATATGAAATTGTTTCTTAATGCATTTGAAAAATACATTTGTTTAGAAATTTTTTGCTGACTCAGCAAAATATATTAGCAGTTAGATGCCAGGATAACATTTCATTGCTTATTTATATTGAAAATGTTGTGTACATTTTGCCAAAGGGCACCCAAAAGTGTATATTCATGCATTTATATGATTATTATGTATGTATGTAGATTCGGATGATTTACTCACCGTCTGCTATGGTCCAGCGTATTTCACTTGTTATCGGATCGATAGCTGTTAATCCGCCCCCTAATGTCGAGAACACCATTAATGTTTCTTCATCTCGTGCCAAATCAGTGCATGCCTATGGAATGATACAGATTACATACAATTATTTATCGTACCGGCTAAAATATGTAGGCAGCGCCACCATGCCACTTCATCAATTTATTGTTGACACACATGTATGTACATATGTTTTGCTTTTTGTTACACCTACCTCCCTCAGGCGAAACACTCGCACTTGTTCGGTTGCAACACCCTCCCTTGAATCAGTATTATTCCCATTTTCCTTTGACAAATTTTGTGCATTTTCAACAGTTGTTTTAATTTTTGCTGAGCCTGGCGTGACTGTTGCCGTAGACAAAGTGGCTGATGCAATCAAAATACACAATCCGAAACAAATAGCAACGTTCCATTGCAAAAGCAAAATCGACATCGACGTCCACGATCGCGACACCACCGACCACCGAAAAAACATTTTCCTTCTCAACATGTCCACTATTTTTCACTCAGTTTATAAGCTATATCAGACATCACTTTTTTCAAATCATAATTTGCATAAGAATTATCAACACTTTATGTGCGAGTTAAACACCTTTTTGTTTTTAAACACTTTATGCACTTATTTCAATTATTAATATTAACAAATTGGAGTACTCCGCATCTAGAAAAATTTGCCATTGTTGAAGTTGTCAAATGAACTGGATGGGAAGAAACGAACTGGAAAGAATCACGAATCGGCAGGGTTGCAAACTTTTGGTACTAGGGTTTGGAATTTAAGTGTTTTGGTCTAGGTAACGCCGATTTTCCGTAGTGCCAAAATAAGTTAATTTACGTGCGGTGTTATGGCCGCAAAAAGTTTTCGGTCCATATTTTTTCGAGAATGAGCAGGAAACGCCAGAAACGATTTCTGGGGCTTCTTACAGAACAATGATTGGCAACTTTTTGCGGCCAACGGCAGAAGAGCATCGTAATTTGTGGTTGAAACAAGGTGGAGCTACTGTGCACATTGCTAGGCAAACTATGGACCTGCTACGTGAAATTGGTAGGTCTTATTTGGCCCACCCTTTATTGATTGGAATTTACGAATTTATTAAAGGAACTTACTTGGGCATGATTCCATGAAAGTAGGTACTTATGTATTTATCGTTCGCTCAAAAAATGAAAGGGTTAAAAATTAGTAAAGAAACACCGACACACATCGATGTTTGAAGCCACGACCCTCGATGTTGCTCGATACATCGATGTTTTTTTTTTGCATCCCTAATTTACCGGCGGCGCTGCACTACTTGTGCATTTGTTTTGCAAATTTGCAGCAAGTTGGTTGGGTTTCTTTGTTAAAATATAAATTTTTTCAACTGAAAGGTTTGTTATCTAATCATACCTCATATCATATATTTTAGCATAAAACGTTATTTCATTAAAGATCTATTTAGCTACAGCATACAACACATACTCCCTATTCACTTTCTGCTTATTTGTTTTCATTTTTGGGTACCATCAGACATGAAATCTGCAACTCATGTTGCCCTCTTCGCCATTTTGGCGACGTTGGCACTATTTGTAACAGCCGATGCAAAGAAGTCTCGCAAATTGAAGTATGCAAGAAGTTTTATCAATCCATATCCACGCTTTGAAGAATATAACGATGGTGGCGATCCTGGCGAACCACTATTCCTTACGCCTCTTATCAATGACGATAAGATACCAAAAGAACAGGTACGACAAAAAGCTCTCGTACTTGGCAGTCAGTTCCATAAGGTAGAGAGCTATGCTGGGTATTTAACGGTTGATGCAGCTCGCAAGTCGAATATGTTCTTCTGGTATTTCCCCGCTGAGCAGGATCCCTCCTATGCGCCAGTAGTTTTATGGTTACAAGGTGGGCCGGGCGCGTCTTCGTTGTTTGGTTTGTTTGCAGAAAATGGGCCATTTGAGTTTGACTCCCACGGTCATTTGCAAAAGCGCAATTACACATGGAGTAGCACACACAATCTTATATACATTGACAACCCAGTTGGTACGGGTTTCAGCTTCACCGGAAGCGATGATGGCTACGCACGAAATGAAAAAGATGTCGGACGCAATCTTCATGAGGCAGTGATGCAATTATACGAACTCTTTGAATGGAGAAATTCGACCGGTTTCTGGATAACCGGTGAATCCTATGCCGGTAAATACGTACCAGCTTTGGCGTATCACATTCATTTGGCACAAAATGCCATTGATACACGTATGTACATTCCGCTAAAAGGTTTAGCTATAGGCAATGGACTTTCTGATCCTTTACATCAGCTCAAATATGGTGATTACTTATATCAATTGGGCTTAATCGACGATCATGGCTTGAAAGAGTTCCATATTCAAGAAGAGAAGGGCAAAAAATGCATTGAACAGCATGATATGGAATGCGCATTTGAAGTATTCGACGGTCTTGTCAATGGCGATCTTACAAATGGTTCAATTTTTCACAACCTTACTGGTTATAATTTCTATTACAACTATTTGAAGACCGATAGTGACGAACCATCTGAAGTACTTGGCAATTTTATTCAATCGTCAGTAACTCGGCGGGCAATTCACGTCGGTAACATGACATTCCACGATCTAGACAAAGAGAATAAAGTGGAAAAGTTTTTGAAAAAGGATGTTATGGATACTGTAGCACCATGGATAGCGGAACTTTTAAATGATTACATTGTTTGCATATATAGTGGTCAGTTAGATATAATTGTCGCCTATCCTTTGACACGCAACTACTTGAAGCATTTGAAGTTTGCTGATGCTGATAAATACAAAATAGCGGAGCGGCAAATTTGGCGCGTGGAAGGAGAAATAGCCGGATATGCCAAACACGCTGGTCACTTAATTGAAATTTTGGTTCGCAACGCTGGGCATATGGCGCCTGGTGACCAACCTAAATGGTTGCAATGGATGATTCACCATTTGACTCACTACAAAAAAGTGGTATAAACATGTAGTCCAGTAACTGATAGTAGAGCAATCGCACCACTACTACTCGTTTTTCTCAAATACCTACATACATATTTTTTATAAATAATAATAGAACTTTATTGATTGTACGAACTTAATACAACCAAAGAATTCATGTTGTTATTAAAGATAAATTAAATAAAGGGAGTTTACCTATATATGTATATATGTAAACGGAACGAACCTTTTATTTGATTTAATAAAATGATATGGCCACAATACTTATACCCTTTACCTCTTAGTGGCATTAGCATTTAATGTCTGCGCTTTTATCTAGTGTCTTCTCCAGTCCCTTAAAACGACGGGCCACCAGAAAAAATTCCGCGGAGTCCGATCGACTGGATTCGGGTTTAACACGTTTAACATGCTCATAAAATCGTTCCAAATCTTTTTCGAGTTTAGGCACATCACCATTCGCCCATAGTTTAACGACCAAATGGGCTTCTGGCGCAGACATCGCTAGAGCGAATCGAAGTACAGCATAACACAAACCCATTATATTCTCTTGATCCAACATTTTCACGCCCGTTGCATTTGGCGCCATATCAGAGAGAACACAATTTACCGGCCGGCTTGCCAATGCCTCTCGCAAACGCTGTTGAGCTACAGGGGTTGTAAAATCCATGCCACCGAATACAGTAGCGCCCTGCATGTGTATGCAAATAAGAATATTGGCTGGTGTTATAGCAACTTACTGACATCACTTACCGGTATAGCATGAAAGTGTAACAAGTCAATGCTGAAGACAGCACCCTTCTTATGTCCTTCTTTAGCGCCATTGGCATTTGTGCGATCAACCGCTACTTGCGTCCAACTACCTGGAGCTGCCCCGCAATCCAGCACAGTATCGCCGGGTCTCAGTATCTTGAACCTATCGTCGATTTCCAATAATTTGAAGGCACTTCGGCAACGGAGATTCATCATTTTTGCTTTCTCCACATAAGGATCGGCCAGTTGTCGTGTAAGCCATTCTTGTGAACTTTTGCTCTTACCTTTAAGATTACGAGGTATTTGTTTTGCAAGACCAGCATGTGTGTGAATAAAATGTTTAAGTAGCATGGCGCAATTAGGACAATGAAGATGTTTGACCGAGTGATAACAAAAACAGCTGTTTGTTTATTTTTTTTGTTAAAACGGTGGAACGCGGGAGATTGCAACATAGGGAACGATGCAGTGAAATTTACAAGGCTTAGCAATAAATAAGCATATACTACACCCTGTTTTGTTTTATCAAATAACCGCCAATTGTAGAAAAGAAAGTCGAAATTTGATCTGTTGTACCGTGATTAATTACTTTTTATTGTGTTATTTGTGTTCAAGTCGAAAGTTGTTCATGAAGTTTTGAGTAAACAGCTGTAGGCGGACCACTTAGTTTTCAATCATGATGTAATAATAACATGGTTTTCAATCATCTTGAATTTGAAATTGAATGATGGTAACTCAATTCTTCGGAAGCGCCAGCTAAATGGCTAATGTATTATATGGAGCTGAACTTCTGTACCTGTTTTACCATCACGATGACCAGGTAAGCTAGTTTTTAAGGAAACAAGGAAACACACACACTGCAAACTAGATTTTAAAGTGGCCGCATTGTTCCTTGGGATCCCCGTTGAACAATGAATTTCTATCAACTATCGTGCGTGGTTCCAGTCGACTGAAGTTATTATCTACTTATGTGATGTACAAATGTATTAAAAGTCTCAAAAAAACAACAAATTTTCAGTGTATAAAGGGTGTGTAACTAATCACCTCATCAAACTTCATATCCAGTTAACCGTGGATAAATTAACCAGATAAATTATGTCGGGCTACCGGTATGTATGTACGTAAACCACAACTTGTTGCACACCAAATATTACTGTCCTTGATGGCTGAACTCCGACGCTCGTTCATTTTTGAACGGTAAAAAATGGCCGTGTACCCACGGGAAAATTACCGTGTATCCACGGTAAAAAATTACCGTAGAACTACGGTAAAAATTTACTGTGGATCCACGGCAATTTCTGAAGGTGTTTGCTTGCCGAAGAAGATGTTGGTGTTGATTTCCGAAGTGCGCGAAGAACCACCTTTTTAATTTAGATGTACGGTAAAAGATAGGCTGACTTCCAAAACGTACCAATACAATGTTTGGATACTGTTATACTGCGGCATTCAAACTCTTTTTATGCAAAGTTGCGAAACATTGCAACCACATACATTGCATGTTTTAAATATGCAATATAACAATGAACAATTTTTCAGAATATTCCATTTTTAAAACACCAATAGTAGCCAAAAACAAACGAAGCATCAATTTTGTTCCTGAAGCGCTGATTTCTCTAGCGATGCGTTTCGATAACTTTTGGGATGCGTTTTGGAAAAGTGTACATTGTCACTATTTTGTAGTTCGGCATTATGGAACACGAACGAACGAATTGATTTTTGAATGAATGGCAGCAACTTAGGTATGTATGTACATATGTACATCTATTGTGAGCAAATCAAATACTACGCATGGTGAATACACTGCCGTGACCCACGAGAAATTAGGATTGTTCATTCACGTTGGAAAAATAGATAGCCTCGGGTCCACACTAATTTTTGTCGTAGATCTACTGTTAAAAAATACAGTTATTCGCACGCCTCGAAAATCGCTGTGAATCCACGGTAATTTTTTCCGCGGATTCGTGATTTTCGATTCGTACGAAAACAAGATTATGCCCATCGTAACTTTTTTGGTCGGAATTTATTTTCATTGTAACAGTTATTTTTTCTGTTGTTTTTTTTGGTTTAGTTAAGTAGTTTCTTAAATATGAAGAAAACACAAAATTTTGTAAACGGAAAATTAAATTCCTTCAGAAAAAATTATAATTAACCCAGTAAAATTAGACTTTTTCTTAAAAAAATTTGTAACAGCAATTTTTTGATGCAGTTTACTTCTATTTGACACGTAGATCATGGATCCACAGTCTTGCCCCTAAATTTAATTTGGCAACATTCCGCCATCTTGAATTTAAGTTTTTTTGGTTTTTTTGTGATTTGCAAGCTGATTTTGCATTAAAAAAAACCTTCTATATAACAAATATGGGTAATTAAATTCTCTACATATTTGTATTTAATCATTTTTTACGAAAATTTATTATTATTTATTTTATCAACTATGTTTCATTGTATATTATTATTCTTAATCACAAAAATACAAGTCGTAAGCCTGTATGTAAGTACAACTAAAACGGTATATATGTATGGGCATTGTATAAACACTATACTATACGTGCATACGTATGTAAGTACAAATGTTTTGATAGTCACAAAATGGTATTGAACGCTATAAATTATAGTTGCAAGCCATCGATATAATCGTGGACTTTATTGTATTGCACTTTTTTTTGTTGTTTATTTTCTTTTTTTTTTTTAAATTGAAAAAAATGCAGAAGTCACAGCAAAGCTTTCTTTAAGTAGCTTATTTTTTTCCTGAGTAAATATCGTTTCAGCGTATGTATGTACATATGCAGACAGATTTCCTCTTCATACATCTTTATTTTTCAAGGGCGACTTCTCGTCATAGGCCTAAAAAACCAACAACAACGTTTATATAAACAGTTCGAACAAAGAATGCTTTTCTTTAACTAATATTTTACCTTTTGCGCCACCACAAGCAGACTTTCAAAAGTGCTATTTCCCGTTTGTTTAACCATATCATAGAATACCTTCGTTTTACTTTGGGTCAACAACTCATACGGTGAACCGAATTCCACCGCACGACCAGCATCCATCACCAGCACCTTATCCGAGTCCATAACCGTGTTTAGGCGATGAGCTATAGTGAGCACCGTGCAATATTTGAATTTACTTCTTATTGTCAGTTGTATGAGTGCATCGGTTTGTGGATCTACATTTGCAGTCGCCTCATCAAGCACCAAAATTTTATTCTCACGCAGTATGGCACGTGCTAGACACACTAACTGGCGCTGACCGACGCTAAAATTGCTGCCACCTTCTGAGATCTTGCTCTGCAAACCACTCGGGAGCTCTGCCACAACATTCTTTAGTTCGACCTGAGAGTGAAATGAAATTTGTAATGCTCCCTTCCTCCTTTCTTGTACAATTTGTATCTACGTATATACTATTTTAGGAATATTTAGTCTTACCTCCTCAAGCACAGCCCATAATTTCGCATCAGCGTATTCATCGAATGGATCTAGATTATAACGCATTGTACCCGAGAAGAGCACCGGTTCTTGCGGTATAATAGAGATTTTACTACGCAAATCGTGTAAGCCCAGCTCATCAGTATTTCTCATATCTATGATGATAGAACCCTCATTGAATGATAGTCGAAAGAGCGCATTTATGAGCGACGATTTGCCTGCCCCAGTCCGCCCCACAATTCCCACCTTTTCAGTGGGCAGTATTTCAAAGCTTAGCGATTTCAGCACGCGATCAGACTTTGGATCCGGGTTATAGCGCAGACTAACTTCATCAAAGACGATTTTACCCTGCTCAGGCCATGTCTTTGGAGGTGCTTTGCCTGGCTTGCTTTCCAAATCACCCTCAGGTTCAAGCTCGTCATACTCTACTAAACGTTCGACACTGGTCATGCCATTTTCGAGTTCAGCGGATTGTCGCATACCCCACTGAACCATGCCTGTTAGGCCCATGGCCTGAGTTACAGCTAAACCAACATCGCCGCCATTGTCGGGTGACAATATAAAGAAGCTCAGTGTTGTAACGGCCATATAAAGTACGCAGAAACAGTCAAGCCAGTAACCAAAAGCGCGACTTGTTACCAAAAACATATAGTAGCCGGCACTGTGAATGTCTTGGTAGTTATCAAACTCACTCAGTAGCATATTTTGAGCGCCAAAAGCACGTATCGTCGGTAGGCCGTTAAGTGAAGCACTCAAGTGGGAGTAAATGGGCGAACGATCTGGAAGCATTGAAATTAGTCCATAAATTATTTCGCTTAAGTGTTATTAATTCCAAGAAAGCACTTACTAACTGCCTCTAAACGTTTCACATCACGCGATGTACTCAAATAAAATGAGCGCATTGAATAGAAAAGAAGTGCTAGCATCGCTGTAGCCAGCAGGCTGACTGGGTTGACAATCGATATTACTATGACTATGCCAGTCAAGCTGAGAATGTTCTGTATGACATCCATCATTACCCATGGCAATATCTCATCTACGGCACCTAAATCTTTGGCAAAGCGATTCAGTATGCGCCCTGAGGGATTTGTGTGAAAGAAGAACATCGCTGCGCGTGTGATGCCACGATACATAGCATTGTGTAGGGCCGTCGAGGAACGCATGGCCATCGTGAAGAAGAACAAAGTGCGAGCGAAGGCAAAAATAATGGTGGCCAAAATGATGCCAAAGAATATGTAGATGTCCTTTGGATCCGTGTTACTATTCAATCGCAAATCGCGTGCGTCGGTGTCATTGACAGCATTAGCAGCCTCGGCAGCATCGATACTTCGCTCCTGACTAACGAGCTGTTGTTCGTTTTTATTTACCCTATAGAGAAAGGCAATCACTAATACTAGAATTTGTTTATATTCAAAATACGCTGCAGACAATACGAACTCACCAAAATGAAACGTAAAAATCACTAGTGGATCCCAACATCTGTGCGCCTACACAAAAGAACATCGTCACTGCGAAGAGCAAATAGCCGCCGCTGGCACCAAAGTACTTCTTATACATGCTCCAGCCAATCTTGCCCGTCTCACGCTTCTCTTGCACCTGCAATGGCGACTCAGCCTCGTCAACTAACGACTCCGCCACTGACTCGTCCATTGAACTCATCGTGGCCGTGCTGTTCTGTCGTTGTATATGCAACTGACTTGACGCGCTCTTCATCTCAGCAATGCTGTCGTCATCCGCATCGCTGTCATTTACTGGTGCGGTCAACAGATTTGCAAAGTCTAAGCCACTGCTTCGCATAGACTCATAGGTGCCGACAGCGCTGATCTTGCCCTTATCCATGATGACGATAATGTCAGCCTGTTCGAGGAACTGTAACTGGTGTGTTACTAAAATGACAATGCGATCGCGCAGGAAGCCGCGCATGCATTGGTCGAAGAGATGCCGGCCGACATGTGTGTCTACTGCGCTTAGCGGGTCATCCAGCAGGTAAATGTCCGCTTTGCGATACACAGCGCGGGCCAAGCTGATGCGCGCTTTCTGCCCGCCCGAAAGTGAGGCGCCACGCTCGCCCACAATCGTTTTGTCGCCATGTGGCAGTAGTTCAAAATCACGCTCCAATGCGCACTTTTTCACCACGGTACGATAACGGTTCCTGTCCATTGGCAAGCCGAAAAGTATATTTTGGCGAACAGTGCCGGTGAATAGCCAGGGTTCCTGAGAGGCATACGAGTAGGAGCCGTGCACGGTGACGGAACCCGATTCGACGGGTAGTTCGCCAAGTATGGCTTGGATTAAACTGAGATGTGAAAGTAGAAAAAAATATAGTTATAACAGCGCTCTAAATATCGACAAATAATATCAAAAGCTAATGATATGCAAATTCATGGACTCTTCGCTCATAGAACTTTACCTAGAATTTACCTCGACTTTCCGGAGCCCACCGGTCCAACGACTGCGACTAGCGTGCGGGGTTCGACCTTCATGTCGACACTACTCAGCGTATACTCCGGCACTTTTGGGTCCCATTTTGCCTTCAAATTTCGTATCTCAACACTAGATTCGCACTGTGCCACCTCCTGCGTTGGCTGAGTGGATTTTAAATTCCCATTCAGGTCATCCATTTGTTTTATTTGCCGGTAACCATTTCCCCTATTTCCTAAAGGATCACCAATTTCTTCATACAACAAATATGTTTTTATGCGTCTGAAGGACACGAGCGTCTCAGAGATCTGCTGTATGCCATTCGGAAAGGCCACAACCATTGTATTACGCAAAATGCTGTAGAATGCAGTGACAACGAACGCTTTTTCGGCGGTAAGGAAATTCCCTAACAACACATAGGCCACTAAGCTGACAAACACGGACACGCGCGTCATGAACATGGAGAACATCTGCAGTATGCCAGTGATGTAGTTCTTCTTGCGTATAACGTTCATTTCCTTGCGTCGCGCAAATTGCACCATCTTCCCGAAAGGTTTCTCCCACGCATACATTTTGATCACCTGTATGCCCGTGATGATTTCGTTCATCAGGCGCACGCGCTCATCGGTGCGCAACGCTGTGCGCAAACGCAGCTTCGAAGTCAACTTGCCAAGATAGAATTGCAGTGGCACAAAGAATACCATGGCAAAGACGCCAAACATCGATGCCACGCCTATCTGAAAAATACATATATATTTATTTCTACTGTAAGTGTATACCGTGTCGCAGACCAGACGTATGTACCTCTCTGTACATGAGAACAGCTACTACGGCGATCTCGATCGGTCCAACCCACAGTACGTGTACGTGCATGATGGATGTATCCAGCCGCCCGACGTCGTTCGATATCAGATTCACCACTTGACCGGTTGTGGTGTCGCCAAGCGCTGTTCTATTCAAGCGTAACGCTTTCCGATAAATCAAACTGCACATGGCGAGTCGCACTTTCATGCCGATGTGTTGAATGCCCAACATATATGGATGTCTTAGCATTACATTCAATGCGTTACAGACAATCACACCCATGGCATAAATGTAGGCAGTAAAGTTATCATCTCTGTTGGTGGGATTTGCATAGTAATTGACTAAGCCGCCAAGAAACAGTGGCTGTGTAACGCTGTGGTATAAAGTATGTAGGATTATTCTTTTTTTTTTTTTTTGTAAATATTTCCACTCTTTTTCCACTCACCGCAACCCGATTTCTACCAGAAACAATACACATCCCAAAGCGGCAAAGTTTAGCCCAAATACGCGTATCACAGCCAAGAGTAAACTGGGTTCTTTATTTTTGCGCCGCTTCTTTTCGACCTCTATTTCCCAAGCTTTGTTTAATTTATTGCCGAGTGTTTCTGAAAAGTTGTTTTCCAATTTTTATTACACAGATTTCATTTTAGGCAGGGAACAGCAGTAAGCTGACCTACAGCTAAGTGAGCAACATTTCAAACTCTTAAGCTCCAATTCATTTTATTAGTAAAAAAAAAAATCGGATAAAATTTTGACCTCCCGATTCAGTCGCAATTATCATTATAGGTTATTTATTTCGTGCAGACGATTGTACGAAACTTTATTCTTACCTGATTTATGTTCCTTTAGCACTCGATAGAGATCGCTTTCATCTAAAGTTTTCTTACGCCCCTTAAAAAATATTGGTAAAGTAAAGCTAAAAATAAGATCAAATATTTTGATTTTATATTACATTATTTAATAATGTCTTATTACAAGGATATATCTTATTATTTACATTTCATATCTATGCATGTACGAGGAAATGTCCAAAATTTCGCGGAATGGAGGGGGTGGAATGGGGGCAGGGGCGCGGTCTTAGTTTCATACTATTGGAGACTCGTCATTGGTATGTTAGTCAAGTTTCAACCCTATGGCGTCATTCGTTTACGAATAATCGCTTAGATAATTTTGGTAGGCCTTCTTATTTAAGTAAAGCCATTCTAAGAGGCCTACCCAAGAAGGGCTGAAGAAAGTGCTTCCTCGCATGCCTTCAAGAAGGGCTTATCCATTTACCGGCTGGTTCTAAACTACGCAGCGCCCGTGTGCTTACCGGGGACTAGCTGACCTCCACCGGAAGACTTCTGATGTCGCCACAGTACCACCTACATGACGAGGTTCAAATGCTCCCTGTTAAACAGGACAACACAATGCTTTGTGAGCAGTTCCTAGTAGCGTGCCACAGGTGCCTCAGACGTGGGCACCCGAACAGACACCTACTTGCCACAGAGCCCTCGGTTTGGAACGTCAGAAGGCATCTATAGGAAACAAATAAACGAAGACCCAAGGTTCATAATACAACCATTGGATGCGACGACGTTAATACCGTTTTGGGAACACAGCCACCTGTCGTGGACGAGAACTTCCTTTGCCTCGGGAGACTCGCACCATCATAGCCCAACTTAGCTCTGGATACTGCAGCAGGCTAAACTCCTACCTGAGTAGAATAAACGCAGATGTGCTCAATGAGTACCCGGCATGCGGAGAGTACTGGGTTCAAAGCAACAACGCAACAAAATTTAGAAAAAAGGTTTTTTCTTAACAGCAGTCGCCCCTCGGCAGGCAATGGCAAACCTCCGAGTGTATTTCTGCCATGAAAAACAGCTTCTCAAAAAAATAAAATCGTCGTTCGAAGTCGGAAAGTGGTTTGGGTTAAAGCATGAAAAATCTATATGTATATTTATATAAAAAAAAATTAGCTTGAAAAACATTTTAAATATTTAAAAGAAATCAACATGTAAATATGTACTTGTTTGAGTTACTGTATGCACATTAGAGTGGTACTTAAAAATCAAATGAAAGATTTTTTTCAGTCGCACCCCCTCAATCGGTAATAACACGACCACATATAAATTTTGGTTCCGATTGGAGACGGTTAAGTGGTGTCGCAAAGGGGTCAAAGGCCAGAAACCTCTATGGAGACTCAAAAAATTAAAAATATGCTTTTTCATTTAATACTCAATACCGATTGCAGTCGGTTAAGATGGTTTCATAGGATAATCTAAAGTTTGACTCCTGCGCGACACGCCTTAACCAAGTCCAATCGTGGTCAAAATTTATCGATTTTGGGTGTTAAGTGAAAAAAAAAAAATTAAAAATTTATTTTTTGCGTCTCCATAGAGGAATCTGAACTTTCCCTCCTGTGCGAAATACCTTAACCGCCTCCAATCGGGACCAAAATTTATATGTGATATCTTCGACTATAGTAGCATCGACGTAGGAGTTGAGGCTTAGAAAATCTGATGTAAAAATTTTCTAATTTTACATTTAAGGACCACCCTAGTGCACATGCATGAGCTGCAAGTGAGTAAATTATCAATCTATAAAATATAACATACATTTTATATGAGAGGACTTATCATTTTTATTGAGTCAAGAACGCCATGATTTGCAAATGTTTTTCAAGTTGTCCTCTAACGTTTTAGTAACTAATCCCTGATTTGAGGTTATTGTTGAATTTAAACACTTCCTTCGGCATCTTATACGATATTTCGTCAAATTCATTAAGGGGCTCGTTACTGAGAGTGTACTTATTTGGCTTCTCGGTAAGACCAATAAGTCCGCTCCGCCTTATGCTTCAAAAAATGAATTGAAGGGTGTCAAATTAACCTAAAAAATATGTACATTAGGCTGTCTTAGAAAAAAAGCTGCGCATTTTCACCGGAATTATAAAATGTATTATCTTTTAAGACTGCCGCCAAAATATTTCGGAAAAATATTAAAATTTACGAGAACTGGCCTAAACTTTTCTATCATCTGGGTGATTTTTTAGAAAAAAATAAATTTATTTATAAAAAAACTCCATTTTTGAAGGTATTTTCAAATAGGTCCAGCTCACGTAAATTTTAATATTCTTCCGAAATATTTTCGGCGGAAGTCTTATGGTCTTATTTATGAAAAATAAAATGAGTTTAAGAGTTCAATAAAGTGACTTGTACAATAGTTAAAGGCTTCTTTATTTTTTATGAATTTTGGTACATATTAATAAATTTTATATTTCCGATGGGAAATCAGTGCCGATTTTTTTTTTATATTTTGGTATGAAGGGCCACGCACCCTAATGTACATACACATATATGTATTCTGATTTGCGCATAAGACTAGACGATAGACGCGGCTGTATATCATTGATATTTCCAATGATTGAATCGAAAACTTAAATATGACTCGCTCTGTAGGCACTCAGCCCTGCTTAAGATATTATAGCGTCAATCAGCTGCGAAAAAAATCACAGTCTGTGTGGAAAAAAAATCATGCATGGTGAATTATTTTTGCCTTAATAGTATCCATGTATTTGTTTGCTCGTTGATAACTCATTGCTGTGTATTTAGCCCGGTTTGATAGGCGTCCAAATACATATTTGTTATTAAAGTATAATTTTTCCGCTACACTTTGTTTATTCAGCAGCTGGTTTTATGCATAGATTGATATTGCGCAAACACTGAAGTAAAGTATATCCAGCGCTAAAAAGCTGGCGAGCATACAGTAAGTGCCAAATGTAAGTGTACACCTTATTCTAATACAATATTAACACTTATTTTCAAGAAAAAATTTGTTCATTCATTATTTATGAAAATATAGATTATTCCATAACATACACCATATAACTCACAGTTTCACACTTTATATAAAGTTCACAAAAATTCAAACATTTTTCATCAAAATTTCAAAAATTTTTTTCGGAATTTCAAGAAAATTTTCGAGTATGCAGTTTTGTAGCCCGTTTCAAGTCGCCAAAAATTGCCGTTGACTTTTTAGAATTTTTTTTTTTTTGTGGAGGGTGTTGCGCATTTTCTTCCATATAAAAATAGATTTTTATCACTTTATATAAAGTGTGAAGCTTTAATTTATATGCTGGTTCTTATGGAATAATCCATATTTTCATAAATAATTAATGAAAAAATGTTTTCTTGAAAATAAGTGTTAATATTGTATTAGAACATGATGTACACTTACATTTGGCACTGACTGTATATCATGACAATAACTGTTATTTTTATCAACTTCCTGTAGGTGTTAAGACATATTTTGAGTTTGATAAAAGCTGGGTGATTATTATTTGTGGAAATTTGCAGCGGAATTTTTATTTAATGTAAACTTATATACAGCCTTATATTTATGCATGATAAAAATATATCTTTTTCAAACATAATTTCTCTATAAAATTTTTTTTTATTTCTTTTTCGTCTTAACTCTTATTAACTTTTAAAATTTAAGGTGACCTAAAATAGTGCGATACCGCAGGTGCGATACGACATCGTATTTCATGCGATAACGATGAAAAGCAAGGCCCTCAAACAGGTGTCATACGAAGGACAGATAAACTTTAAAAGCTATTTGACATTTCTCTTAAACTGGATAAGGTATCAAAAAACAGACCTTTAAAGTTTCGAAACTCTCACTGAACTGTTAAAATTTGTATGAAATAATATGCAAGTACATATTCCAGTTTCTCCTATTTAAGAAAGACACCCACATACTTTTGAACAATAAACATTCTTTAGACTTACCAGAGCATCATTGCTGATAAGGGATTGGCACGCTCGCGCGGATTTTGTGGCAACTCGTCTGCCTTCAAGGACTGCATGGTGTTTGATTTTAGTTCCAATTTTTATTTTATTAGCACCTTTTACTTAATTCTAAATATTTCAGGTTACACCACCAAATTCCATATATTTGCTGAAATGCGATTTAGAAACTTTTAGAACGCTGATAGTACACTTATGTACATATTTGAGTAGACATATAGCAAGGTAGTATTTAAACAGGAACACGTGCTGTGTTTTGTATGTGCATGGTATGTGTATACAGCTGCGGTCAAAATAATAGTAGAAATTCCAAAGCTTACACAAAGATCACAAGATGAAATTTCGGAAAATTTCAATAAAACTTGCAACTTTTTATCTAGATTTTTGAGACATTTTTTAAAGTAGCCCATTCATTTATACTAGAGTGTGAAAGTTTTAATTCGCTGAAAAATTATCGTTGGCTTTTTAGAATTTTTTTTTTTTCGAGGGTGTTGAGAATTTTCTTACAAAAAACAACACCCTAAGCAAAAAAATTAACGGTACTCTTTGACGACTTGAAACTTACACTTTATTGTACTTAAATTTAATGGCTAATGGGCTTTAAAATTGCATTTTTTTTTAAGTTTGACTAATTTCGGTGAATGCTCTATATATGGTTTCAAATTCATATTTATGTGGTTTCTGTTATAGATCGAATAATAATTTCAATCAAAATTATTAAAAATTAAAATGCAAATAAAAATAAGTTGCAAGCAACGCCATTCTGATTTTTGGTGTTATTATTTTGACCGCTACTGTATATAGGTACGTATGTATGTATGCATGTATGTTTGCTAGCAGCCATATCTCAAAGAATCAGATAAGTTAATTGTGAAATACTTGTAGCACTTATTATATCTTTTAAGGATTACATTTGAATTATTAGAAAAGCGATTAGTGTGTTAGTCTCTTAACTGGTATCAACATAACAAAGTTACGTCCCTGAATTAATCTGCTATTTCATGTACATTATTCTTTAATACAAATTTTTCATTTAAGATAAGAGCTTCGATAACATTCCCACGACAGTGGGGTCTATATATCGTTACCTTAATATAGAAAGGCCCTATCTCACAACGACGCTGAAATACAAAATGCCGTAACTAAGCAAACATCGGAAATGCCCGCTTCGATTGATTATGATGTATTTCATCGAATTATGTGTCCCAAACCATTTTAAGCAATAAAAAATTTTAGTCAGTTACGGCTTTTTTGCATTTCAGCGACTGTATGAGTTAGGGCCTTTCTATATTAAGGTAACGATATGTTCTTCTAAAGAGATAGAACATATTCGATTGAGAATGTCAGCGAATTAGTTTTCCTGATTTCATATATTTATACACATTTTATGTGGCCTTTTTTGCATCTTTTCTACCTTTAAAAAAGTTATGATAGCGAGGAAAAAGCCCTTATTCCTGATAATCATGAATGTTCTGCAATTCGTTTCTGAGTGAATTTGAACCCGATTTGAAAGGGGTTCAAATCTACTCCGAAGTGAATTGCAGAACCTGCCTGAATATGAAAGTTTCAAACGTTCCATATTTAAATTCGGCGCCATTTGTTTCAACCAAAGTCGAGCGTACGTTTGGTACATTCAAGGCTTTTTTTTCTTCGTGAAAATGGAATCAAAATGCTGCCAGAAAACTTCAAAATGCATATTGTCGTTCAATTTTCGCTACAACTATAGATATCAAAGTTTTGTGGGGAAATAGTCTACTACTAAGATACATATACATATCCATACACATATGTATATAATGAGCGTCAAAAATATGCCTACCCTAACGTTTTGACGATTTCATTTATTTATTTTTATTTTCCACTCCAAGTTTTTCTTATTTTATTATAAAAATATAGTTAATTCAACAGCAAAAACTACAAGTATTATTGCCTTTTAATTTCATACAGAACTCGTTGAAAATGCAAGAAACATTAATCGAAATTTACAATTAGATTTCTTAGAAAATTTTTGTGTGTGCAGTTTTGTAGCCCATTCAATTTTAGTATAATAAAATGCAAGTTTCAAGTCGCTAAAAATTATCGTTGAAATTTTTTTTTCACTGAGGGTGTTGCGTACTTATTTCATATAAAAAAATGGATGTCGAATTGAAAAGTTGAAAATTTCTTGGTTCTTCCTGCATTTCCTCGAGTTCTGTGTGAAGTTAAAAATAACTTGGTTCTTGTGTTTTTTTTTTGCTGTGGGACGCAGATATATTTTTATAAAAAATTAAGAAAAATTTAGTATGGAAAATATAAATAAATAAAATCGTCAAGACGTCAGGGTGTGCATATTTTTGAGGCTGACTGTATATACCACATATTTTTATATAGCTGCAAGAACAAACTACCTACTCATATAAAAAACAAAACCTGCTTAAGCGCTTCTATGCTAAAACTACTTTCACATATTGATGGCCCTCTGCAATAACGACACAATTCAAAATTCATAATATAAACTCCCTCTCTACTGTTTAGTAGCTCGTGTCTCTCTCGTCCTTGTCTAATCCATTTGTAATCCTTACTAAGTTAAGTAGTAAGGATTACTACAGCAAGTAATAAAAATTGGACATGGATTATACAAGGATTAGATACATGAGCCACGAAACAGTAATAAGATTTTTAATTTTTGAATATGTATGTAGTGTGACTTTTTTTTTTTTAAATAAGCCGCACAAGTGGACTTGTCACGATCACTTAAACTTTATACGATATATATGACTTAAATTACACGCGTGCCACTTCGTTTTTTAACAATTTGCAAAATAATTATTAAGAAACTACCAAGTTTTTCTGCTAGAATTATGTAGGAATATTTACACACAAACAGGTCAATCAGGCACATATGTCTCTTTTCCGACTATCAGCAAAAACTTAAGCGAGCGACAATTATTCTAATAAGGCAAGTGCGTCCGCCGCTACAACCATGTCGAAACTATTGAGAAAATATTAAATGCGAAACGTTTGGGTTGTCGCTTACTTTCAGCATACAATGCTACAAAAAGTGATACACTAGTGAATTGAACTTAATGAATGGGAACTGAGTAATTTAATTGTTCGAAATGGCGGTAAATCCCCCACGTCGAGGGGACCAAAATACGTGTTTTTACAAGTAATTTGTATAAAATCAGCTTCACACTCTCTTGATCAATATGATAGTAACGACCTGGAAGTACATAAATAGGAGAAAAGTATTTGCTAGTCATAAAGTACATTTAATTAGTTTCCGCCACAAAAAAAAGTTATGCAAGGATGACATTTGCCTGCCCTGGCTCTTTAAATATAAAAGCGATTATCTTACCTAAAAAGTTTGCATGTAAGCATGTACTTATACACGTATGTATATATCGTCGATGTTTCGGGTTTTCTTTGGAGGCATTGCCTTGATAGGCAAATTTTGCAAATCTGTTGTTTTAATAACGATTTTACGATTCTTATGCAAAAATCTCGATGCCTGGAATTTAAGGTTACCAAATCTCAAAATGGCGATTTAGGCAACTGGTCGATGGGCGGTTTTGGAAAAACATCGAAGGTATATATATTCTTATAATCCCGACATTTATGCAGCTACGGAGATAGATTTTTTTGGCATAATATCAATTGCAATACATAATAGTAAATTAGTCTCAATATGTTACCTGCAGGCACTAAGTAGGTAATTTGACAGTATAAGTACTCAGCATAACATTTTAAGGTTTTCTACCTTCCGATTTCATACATGTTTTTATTCAGGCTTTTTGTAAAAAAAAAGAAAATTGTGATTTTAGGTTACACAAGGATTAAATGCGAATTTCGCCCCAACAACAATGCGCATTTGCAAAACTTATATAATGACAAAATACAGACTACAAGTACTACTAAATAATATAAATTTACACTTGTTTACAATTTGCTAAAGATTTCCCAACTACATATTTTTATTTGTTTGATAATTTAGATCGCTCTCGTTATACTAAACGAGATATATGAATTTTGTTTTAATGATAAGGCATAAACAGCTGAGTTTATTTACATACAAATTTGTTTGAATTGCAATTTATGGAATTCGTATTGGAACTGAATGAAAATAGAAACAACCGAAAGGCACAAAGGCTCAAATACTTAGCGTGCAAGCTGTTCGTGAGGCACGTAATTTTTGTATAAATTATTTTTGCAATGATTGCTGCATACAAGTGTTGGGCGTCTATCAATTAATTTTTTAGTCATATTGTTAATTGATTAAAAAAACCATTACAATTAAATTAAAAGCAATTAAATTTTTAGGCTGCGTTTTACCAAACTCAGTTAAGTAGAAATTAATTTTAATTTTTATTTAATTCTCATTTAAATTTTGTTCAGTTTCAATAAGTTCTTTATAAAGTGAGTAAATATATGGCAGCACCGTGCTAAAAAAGGTTGTAAAATCAGGGCTGGTATACAAGTAACCAGGTGATACACAAAATTGCGGATTAAACGTGTAACATCTCTGAGTGTGGTTATTCTGATTTAATTTTTATTTAAGTGAAGAGCATAGGTCACTTAAGTCAAAATTAAAAACAATTTAAAATTGATTGGTAAAATCAAAAATTAAAGTGATTTTCATTTAAATGAATCTGGTGAATCGCAGCTTAATTGCGCATTGCAATTAAAAATGTAATTGCGCATTTCAATAAAATTAACTTTTTAATTGCACTTAACCAATTGTTAATTGTCCTTACTATTTGACCGGCAATGCTGTGTATCAACAAATACGGAGGCATATTCAATGTCTTAGCTGAATAAAATTTCTTTTCTGATACATATTCTTGTTTTTATTTAATTTTAATACAATGTTGCAAATATTTTTATTAACCTCGTCCTGCAGTGGAATTCTAGTAATCGCTACGCTAAATTTTTGCCGCTAAAACTCTCTAAATGGAAAGCAGTAGAGCTTATAAGTATGCCACATGGAAGGGTAATACATGCGATGCGTAATCAGCCAAATCTGACAGTGTGGCGGGCATGCAACTAGATGTTGCGTTTTGTTAGGGACATTTTTGGAGATTTTTGACTATCAAAATTAGCGATAGCTGGCTGCTGTACTTAAAAATAGTATCATAAATGAATACTGATTTTGTAAAATATATTTTTAGCATTCTTGTTTAATTTATTTTGAATAAAATATATAAACTATGTGAGAAAATGTAATCTTTAACACTTTGTGGTATTAATATGATAATTTTAAAATTAACTTTACTAAATTTACAGCAATTTTCACCAATAAACAAGCAAAAGATATAATTTTTATCATGGTGTGAATATTTCTATGACGTTCATTGTGACTTGCTGAAAAAGTTAAAAAAAAACAAAAATCACGCGAAGCAACAGTTTTATCTGACATGGCCTTTACACTTTAAAGATTAGAACAATAGCTTCATGTTCACCCTACAAAATGTTCCTTTACCCTGCAAACCGGTATAAAAGTTATGTCTTCGGCAACTGCAGGCCAAAAGCTAGCAACGGTTTATCAATTGCAGTTTATTAATTTTGTCAATATTGTGAAAAAATTTTAATAAAAGTTAGAAATGTCTTCTATTGGTGATACGGTGGGTTATCTAATTTTTGGTAATCCAATCAGCCAAGCGCTATTTTCAACAGCATCGGGTGTTGTTAAAAGCACAGTAAGTTGAAAGAAAGTATATTTATTTGATTCTAGTATTTATTTCTTATTAAATGCATATACTTTTACAGCAAGGTCTTTTGGCAAAGAAATTAACAACAGGAAATGGTACTATTCCTGCGCCGCCTCCAGCGCCTGTGCGTTTACCATTATGGGATCTGGCAGGCTCGCATTACAATTTCATACGTTTAGCTGGTTTATGTGGGGCGAGTGCTGTGATTATGGGCGCCTACGGCAAGCATATATTCTCCAATGTTGGTAATGTCGATGAAAGAAATGAGGCCAAAACCGTGTTTGAGACGGCAAATCGCTTTCATTTCTTGCATTCATTTTCGCTTTTGGCGATGCCGTTGGTGCACAAACCGTTATTGGTAAGTCGATACTTGTGTGTACATACCGTTTTTTTTTTTCTTATTTAAATAAGAGCATTGCAAATGCAAATTTGTTGTTGTTAAATCATCAATTTAACTTTTTTGTTTGTGAATTTGTATAATAGGAATTTTGGTGGTGTGCTAAAGTGATGGGCAAAAAACGTAGAATGTAAAGAACCGCAAGTCTCTTATGTTCTTTTTTATAGGCCGATTTTGAAAATGTAGAAACTTATTCGCCACTTAAAAACTTATTCTGCACCAAAATCCAGAGTTTTTAGACCACTACTTATTATAACAATAATAAGAGCAGTTTTCTATCGAATGCTTTAAGTTAAAGCCAACAAGTGATATAACAACCCACCAATCTTATTTGTAATCAAAATGCACATATTGATATACGAATATATATATTTTTTAAGTTATTTTATTGTCACTTAAAAACATGTGTAATTTTTCATTCAAGCACTAATCTACACAATTCACAAGATTTACAAAATTCAAATGCCGAAAGTTATTTACTTTTCTTCAACCCCAAATGATTTGAAAATATAAAGTTTATGCATTTATTTTTCGATTAAATATTTTGATGTATAAGTTTGCTAACCGCATGGTTTTCATGCAAATTTTGTATTTCAATTCGTATTTACTTATGCACGTGTTTTTGTTAGAATTTGTTATTTTCAATAGGTATGTAAGTATGTGTATAAATATACAAATATAATCAAACATACGTATCGTCATTTAAAAAACAAAACCGCGTAACAGACATTTGTGCCAAAAAAGATATTTGCTCACCGGAAACTCCTGGCTTCAAGCCCTTATCCATGCATACTAAAATATCGATACTTAGATTTAAGAAAAATAGCTAATTAGTGATAAAAGAGAGTACCGCTTTGAAGTAAAACAAGTTTTACTCCCTCTCCTATAAAATTTGGGAAACCTCATATACGAGGTTTTGCATTTTCTTGATACGCCGCGGTTTTGTGCTTTAAACCACGATATGTATTATTCATTATGTTTATATATATTTGTATATCCTTTACATTTCCAATGCTGTGTATGTATGTATTTATGTACTATTTGAGCGGTTTGCCATAAGTTCGTTTTAAAGCTTAAGTTCATTTTCTTCAATTTGTGAAAAATTTATCGATTATGTTATATGCTTTGTATACAATTAGCTTCTTGTTCGTAACTATTGATAAAAAAAAAATACTGTAATATTTTGTGCGCAATAACAAAGAGCACACGCGCTGCTTTTATGCATTTTTAAGTATTAATTTTTTGTTGAACGGATTTGATTAACAACTTGCGTTACTCGGTTATTTTTTTCTTTTTTGAAAGTGCCTAAGATTGTTATTTATTTTATTGGTAATAAACAGAGGTGAAATACGTACACAGATTTTGTTTTTGCGAACAGCATTTATTTTGATAAATACATTATGTATGTAAATAGATGTAACTAATGTTGATTGTTTTGATTTTTTTTTTGTGCATGATGTATTGTGGAACGATTTTCGCCAACCCTTATGTTTTTGTTCTATTTTTTATGCTATTCTTAATAACTTTTGTATGACTAATAGAGAAGGAAAGCGCTCTTTTCCATATCATTTGGTTCGCTGATACCAAAATCGTTTTGTATACAAAAGTAGAAGAAAAAGGCATCCGTAAATAAAAGTAAAAAAAAAATATATATTGGTATTAAGAGAATGTAAATGTTTATTACTTATTAACTAGTTGTGAAAAGAATTAACTAAAAAATATTCATATAACTCAATCGGATCAATGAGTTTTCCCATACTAAGATGACTTTGATAACTGATTAATTATTTCGCTTAAAAAATGGTTTTACTTGATTCAATTTATTTAAAGCTCAGTTGCTGTTGGCAAAATCTCAAAAAAAAAAAACAAAACAAGGAGGCATACATCGAATGCTTTAGCTGTTATGAACTGCTCTAAATATTTCCTTTTTTACACATTTTTTCATGAGTGTAAAATTACATAGCCTCTACTAATAATGCATAATACATAACTACAAGCACAAAGTATGATCTAATAATTGACTTAATTCTTATTAAAGTTTATTTGCTAGACCTTTTTTATGTTTTAGTATATATATATTTTTTTTTTTTAATTTTTTAATCTTGTAATTTCAACAATTTTCTCTGAATTATATTCTACAAGTACAACAGTAACCAGCTTAAAGCATAATAGAGCATGCATTCCACTTTGTAGCTACATCTAATTAAAGTACCGTTGCGTAAATATTGTTTGTTTATATGTATGTTTCCATATCATTTAACAACCACATTTTTTAAGCAAAGTCTTATTTGCCCACACAGTAAGCTTAAAATTAATAACTTCATAAATTTATTCACAAAACTTTCTAATAGCGCAGCTGCTTTTTATAGTTTAAATCTTTCATAAGTACCCGGCGTGTCTAAAAACTTGACATAATGAAACTTTCCACTCTTCATACTTTTTATGGCAAAAAACTTACTAGCAGATTTTTAACTATTTTAAGTTGTAATAGTAATTTTTAAAGTTTTACATTTTATTTAGAATGTTATTTTCCCTCATTTTCTTTCTGCCTTTTAATTTTGTGTTAAAATTCTTAATCTGTGTATTTGCTTTTTTATGGTCAATAGCCTAAGTTTTTGTATTTAATTATTTGTATAACATTTAATTTAGCACGGAACCAAGTTCGGAGTTCGGAATTACCATTTGACCAAATCCACAAAAAAAAAACTCGGGTATTAATTGGCAAAAGACTTAACAAGGTACTAGCTCATCTGAATGATAGATTATTTCACACAAGGAACTTCGAAGAGAGCGAAACAACCACCGAACTCGCTTCGTCGCAATGGAATATACTACGTAGCTCCTTTACCATTGGGAAGTTCAGCACGTTTCTGCATAATAGAGTCGTTCAAACATTTCCAATTGCCAACACTAATCATCCGAATTGATTGAGAGCACAACCTTCCTTTGATGAAGTGCTGCTTTTGAAATAGTTTGAAGCGAATCATCACATCGGGACCTACATATACCTCTATCATTATTTTCAAAAAAAAAAAACCGTAAAATGAGCTTCGAAATCATGTGAAATATAAATATCGTCGTTTATGGTACAAAACCGCGTATAGTGGTTCTGCAAAACCTCGTAACTGACATTTGTGCCAAAACATGATATTTGCTTACTTAGATCTAAGAAGAATAGATAATGAGGGATAAAAGAGAGAACCGTTTTGAAATAAGATAAGTTTTACCCTCCAATAGAATTTTGGCAACCTCGCATACGACGCTTTGCATATTCTTGATACGCGGTTTTGTACGTTAAACGACGATATACAGCTTAAGCAAAAAATTGTCTTTAAAGGATTTGAATTTCGTGCTAACCTATTAAGTATATGCTTCAATTTTTTTTAGTTGTATGGAGACCATTTAGAATGGCTAACCAAACTAAACCCTTTTTGTTGTCATCTCATACGTGGTATTGCATTCGGGTATTAAGTTCGGGTTCGTCTTTAAGATCTCGACTTGTAGATTTTTTGCTGCTGATATCAAATCCGTTTTTCTGGCACTTCCAGTGTTTGATAAAGATCCAAAATGGTAGAAGAAATCCAAGAAAAAAACCTCATATTAGCGAAAATTCAATTCGTCTGATGGATTCTACCCAATGTCGATGAGTTGAATCAAAATCAAATGCAAATATTTAAAAGAGGAAGCTAATAGCTGCATAAGCACAGATGCGTTTTGGTCACCGAATTATTTGCGAAAATTGGATATGCCTTTAACATTGATATCGATGTTTTTACTGACAACTTTGATTTCGGAAAGCTTTCTTATAACATTAAAAATCTAATTTTTAAATTGTATTTCTTCTATTTTCTATTTTGTATTTCCATAAATGTGCTTATGTACATATGTATGTAGCTTTGATAACAACAAATTTGCATATCTCTATTACGTACAAGGAACTCATTTTATTGTCCTCTTTTTTTTGTTATTTTATCACTAGTGCAAATAAGTATTTACATATGTATGTACACAAATATTTATACGCACTTTAATTGTATTTAAAATTTATTGTTCATTGTCATTCGTTCCAGACCGGCTCATTGATGGCCGTGGGCACTGTACTCTTCAGCGGCGTCCTGTACTATCGCGCCATCACTGGCGATCGTACTTACGTACCAGTGGCAACTTGTGGTGGCTTCTGCCTTATCGTAGCTTGGCTAACGCTTATCTTTTAAAACGGCTTTTGAGGGCGCTGATGGAATCTTCTAAATACCATAGATTAAGATGCTATTGTGACCGATACGAAATTTGGTAATTTTCAAAAAATGCAAAGAATGTACATACATACATACATATAGTTTAACTAATATATGCCCTAATAAGTCAGTCATCAATCAGTGGGCAGTTTTTTCGGCAGCAATTCGTTTTTTCCTAAATTTTGTATCGCTCAAAAAGGCATTATTAGCCATATTTCATAATTTGTTTTATATGTAAATGGTTTTTTGTTTTAAAATTTTAATGATATTTCTTTTATTAGATTTCTCCTTTGTTAATACTTATGTATAGCTGATTTTAATTGAAACTAGTTTTTGCAAAACATGCGTGTGGCGTGTATGTATTTATTATTATTTATTAATATATTTATTATTATAGTATATGTATACGTAAGTATCTATGTATGTATATCTAAACGTTTAAAACTAGTACTGATATGATCAGCGTTCACTGGAAGAATCAATGTCTCGTTAATAAATTATTATTATTATTATTATTCTTTAAGAGTTTTAAATGCATACTCAAATTTACAATTGTATGTAATTTAATTTCGTGCTCTGGCAGCGCTATCTCTTTAATTAACAGTTATAAATTTACAATAAAACATTGCATATATGTATAAAACAACAAATTCAATTTCTTTTTGCATTGTACGTACAAAATTCTTTATGTGTATGTATTTCTATGATAGTTTACAAAAATTCTAAAGTAAAGTTTACACATACATATGTCTGCTTGTATGTACGAAGCTGCAGCTGCTGCATTTCACGATGAAATAAAGCTTCTGTCTGCTATGGGTAAAACAAAAAAAACATTTAATTTAAAACCACAAAGTTAATGCCCTAATATTGTCATCTGAGTTTTTGGAACACATACGAATTATATGTCTTGTTTTCACGTACGATTTACTATATTGTATGTATGTTTATATGCAAACGAGCTAATCGCTAGAACAGTGCATTTTTACAAAGCAAATTTTATTTTTATTTTTCACAAAAGATCACAAATAACTAACTACTCTATTGCAAATGAATTTGAGGAAAGGTGTATGCAGATCAAATTTTCAATTCAATTTTTTTATTATAAAGTGCAGCTAATAATTTGGTACGTGCATTTGAAATCTCATTTAATTTAATTTGGGAAACCATTTTTTAACTACATATTTTTATTATGGCATTGAACTCATCGTTTAAATTCATCTGCAATAAACATAGTTGTGTCATACAATTTTCGTGTTAGTGACCCTGCGTTCAGCACTTGGCTCAGAGTTTTAGGCAAACTCACATAATTATTTCATCTGTTATTTTATACTAGGTTTTTTATTGTCTCACTTTACAAAGTTTTTTTTTCGTTTTTGATTTATTTTTTTTTTCGCGCTAAAGCAATTACAATTACAACTATTTTTTTTTTTTAATTTACATACTACACAATTGTTTTGTGGATATGTAGAATTTACAATTTTCAGGTCAATTTTGGTCATACACCACATGATATATGTATACACAAACGTAGCACATAATGTATGTACGTATGTATGTATGTATTTGTGTTAGTCGATATGCATTTGAGCCCTTAATTGCCTTAAATTGTCTTTATACATGTAAATACATTATTGTTTCATTTACATACTAGTTTAAGTTACTCGTAATTTCATTAAGTACTATATAAAAATAAGCCCCGATATGATAATCTGCGGGTTTCACCATTCCCATTCCCATTCCCATTCGCATTACCGCTTCGGTTTCCGTTTCCGTTTCCGTTTCCTACTCCTCTCCCATTTGTCGGTTCCTGCTATCCAAGGAATTTGTGGTGTGTCGCATCGGTGAGAGTTTTTTGTATGCGCGCATTTGCTGGATGATTTGCTATCGGTTCTAGAATCTTAAGTAAATAGTCTTTGAATACTTTCGGTACAGAAACAGAGAAATGTCAAGTATCCTTTTTCGCGCGCAAGTTCTCCTCATGCGCCTGAAAGAAATAAGGAAATTGAAAGGTTAACAGTTACACAGGGCGGTTTTTACAGTGGAGCGTTAACTCGTATCTGGCAGCTAACTTTAAATTTTTGTACTGGCAGATGTGCTCTTTTTATGTTACCATTTTTTTTTATTAAAAAATTCAACTTGCAGGGCAATTCTGGCTAAGATAGTTGCAAGTCTTTTATAAGACAATTGAAATATAGCACGTCAGATAGTTTAAAAGCTCTGGCACGAAAGTCTTAAAAAAAGCTCCTTTGGTGGAGATGCAAAGCACTAGCGTGCCATTCCAAAGATCCGAGGTTCAAATCTTCGTGCAGCGAATTTTTTTAATTGTATTAATTTTTAAAATTTTATTTCCTTAAGTTTCATTATTAATTAATTATTTTAAAAAGTAAAAAATATATGTATTTTTTAATTTAATTTTTATAAACTTATTTTATGTATTTTTTTGCTATTTTTTAATTTGTATTATCTTAAAATGATAAATATATGTATGTATTCTTTGATTTCATTTAATTTTAAGAAACTTTACCTAAAGCTTTTTCTCGTTTACAAGCTTTTATTTAACTTGCTCTGTGTGTATGTATGTATGTTTATTAGGGGTAAATCTTGCAATCAACTTTTGATCAACTTCCCGATGACCTAGAGACTTAAAATTTCACAGTTCGCTCAGAACCCGATGATAATGCAATACGAAAGAAATTAATCCCATAGGGCACACAGGAGTCGAAATATGTCTATAAAAACCCCGTATTTATAAACCGATTTGGTTTGTATTTAGAACGTACATGTATTAATTACATGAAAAGGAATAACTCCACCAAAAAATTTTGCCGATAGGTGGCGGAGGAGTCATATTTATTTAGAAATGGTTAGAACTATTTTTTACCATTAACTTTTTTATTTAAATTTTTTTTTTGCTTTTTGATTTAATTTTTAAAAATATTTACTCATTGTCTTTTTTAATTTGATAAATTTTGTTATATATTTTTTTAATTCAATTTTCTATTAATTTTTGATTTTTGGAAAACTTACTGCTAATAGACAAATGACCTTATTCATAAAAAATAAAGTAGCTTTATAAAAGGTTTATAAATTGAAAAATGTATGAAAACGTCAATTTATAAAACTCTCTAAACCTACTTTATTTTTTATGAATTAGTCCAAAACAGAATAACGCAAGGACTTGATCGATGGCAGATCTATCGAATTAGTCTTTCGAAAGACGTAAAAGCGCCTATCAAGATATTTTCAAGAATTGCCCAGTTCGACAAATTTTGTTTTACTTTTTCCTTGCTTTTACTTTGCTTCACTTTACTTCATTCTACTCTTCGTTACTCTACTTTACGAATAACCCAAGTCTCCATATTAGCCCTAACCCATATTCAGAAGAACCTACCTTTTGTGCCACCGTCAGCAGAGTGTCGAATGTGGAGTTGCCCGCCTGCTTTACCATGCCATAGAATACTTTCGTCTTGCTCTCAGTTAACAATTCAAATGGCGAACCGAATTCGACTGCTCGGCCAGCATCCATGACCAGCACCTTATCCGAGTCCATAACTGTGTGTAGCCGATGGGCGATTGTGAGAACCGTGCAGTTTTTGAATTTACTTCTTATTGTCAGTTGTATGAGTGCATCAGTTTGTGGATCTACATTTGCAGTCGCCTCATCAAGCACCAAAATTTTATTCTCACGCAGTATGGCACGTGCTAGACACACTAACTGGCGCTGACCGACGCTGAAATTGCTGCCACCTTCTGAGATTCTACTCTGCAAACCACTCGGCAATTCGGATACCACACTTTTCAATTTAACCTATAAACAAGTTTTAAATAAACGTAAATCTTCGACCGAAAAAAAATCATTTCTTCTTACTTCTTCAAGTGCCTCCCATAGCTTCGCATCTGCGAATTCATCGAAAGGATCGAGATTGTAGCGCATTGTACCCGAGAAGAGCACCGGTTCTTGCGGTATAATCGAGATTTTGCCACGCAAGTCGTGCAGGCCAATGTCATTGGTATCGCGCGTGTCAATAATTATGGAACCATCATTGTACGATAACCGAAAGAGCGCGTTTATGAGCGAAGATTTGCCAGCGCCAGTGCGTCCCACTATACCCACTTTTTCACAGGACTCTATCTCCAGGCTGAGTGACTTCAGCACACGTTCCGATTTCGGGTCGGGGAAGTATCGCAAACTGAGTTTGTCAAATTTGATTTTACCCTGTTCGGGCCATGACTTTGGCGGCTTTTTGCCAGGTCGGCTCTCCATTTCTCCTTCAGGTTCGATCTGTTCATATTCGACTACGCGCTCCACACATGTCATATTGTTCTCCAGTTCGGCCGACTGTCGCATACCCCACTGTACCATGCCGGTCAAGCCCATGGCTTGCGTGATGGCCAGACCCACATCACCGCCATTCTCGGGTTTGAATAAGAAGAAACTTAGCGTGGTCACAGCTAAGTAAGCCACACAGAAACAGTCGAGCCAATAGCCGAAGGCGCGACTCGTGGTCAAGAACATATAATAACCGGAACTGTGCAAATCCTGGTAGTTGTCGAATTCTGTTATTAGAACCTTTTGTGCGCCAAAAGCGCGTATCGTCGGCAAACCACTCAGCGAGGCGCCCAAGTGCGAGTAGATCGGTGAACGTGCTGCGTAGTGTAGAAAAGAGGAAATTTGTATTAGTTGAAGTATGCGAGGAAGCAAAAATCATTATTCAATACTTACTGATTGCCTCGATACGTTTCACATCACGTGATGTTTGCAAATAAAATGTTCGCAAGAGATAGAAAATGATCGCTAGAACGACTGTCGTCAGCAAGTTCCAATAATTCACCAGCGATATTACAATCACAATGCCTGCACAGCCTAAAGCGATTTGCACCACATCCATCATCACCGACGGCAGGATTTCATCCACTTGACCCATATCCTTGGAGAATCTGTTCAAGATGCGGCCAGCCGGATTCGTATGGAAGAAGTACATCGCCGCGCGTGTAAGCCCCTGGAACATGGTATTGTGCAAACTAATCGACGAACGTTGCGCCAATACGAAGAATAATAAACTGCGAGCTAGCGAAAAAATCACAGTAGCCACAATAATTCCTGTGAATATGTAAATATCAACAGGATCCGTTTCACTATTTAAGCGTACGTCACGGCCATACAGGCGGCCAATAATGCGATCACCAAAATCTCTGCTGTCTGTATCCAATTTTTGTTCATTTTTGTTGACC